TTATAAATAAATTAAAGTTCTTCACCACAGATCTCCGATTTATATGGTTAACATTAAGAGTAGTGAACAGACTGCTGTATTTCTAAAATAAGCTAAAAAAAATTTTGAAAAATGTGTCAGAAATTTTTTCTATCATCCTACTTAATGTAACCTCAAAGCGAATACCGACGTCCATCTTACCCGAAATAGTGACATAGAAGGTCCTAATTGATCTTTTCTGGGTGTGCAAACTACTATAATTAAGGACATGGAGTTCGTATCTAGCAGTCACAATCCTGAATACAATAAGACCTATAGCCAAAAAACAAAAAGATCAATATACCATCCATAACAGAGAAAGCTTTCAAGGTCGTATAAGAAGAGTTACCCGCAGATTTATTCAAACTGGAGATCGAAATGACACGCAGTGGAGAAGGCGTGTGAGCCAACTCGATCTAACCAAGCGTTAATTATTATCTATAGTCACATAAAAATAAGCTACAGACATATGACGAGTAGGATAAAATGCACATAAATAGACGCTTATATAATAATAGTCAGTGTTGGCAAGCGAATAATTAGCAAGGTCGAAACGTGACTCATGGGTGAATAAATTGCCCCGCTTAGAAGCTAGAATAAGTTATGTGGGCTATACATAGAAACCGATAATACAACCTGCTGCTGCTAAATATGGAACCCTTTCGAACAAAAGCTTTTTTCGAATCTGTCCACAACCACTTGAGACGTTTCATGAATCACGAAATTGAAAAATCAGCACTACGTCCCCAGTGTAGGAAAAGTTGCTACTGATTATACCTACACATGTATCATTATGATAAATGTTTTTATTTAGGAAATCTGTAATATCATCTCTATTTGACTGATGCTATAATTTTTAAGCTAATTAGAAATATATCCAATAAAGAAACTGTATGAACGTTAAATTAAGCATTGATATTTTATTTGCAAATACACTATTTCCAAGTACATTAATCCATAGATAGAAGTTACAGTGGTTCAGTCCGATTATTAATTATTTCCATGAGTGAATTTCACTAGCAATCAAGTATTGATTTAGAGAGGATCCAACTTACTAGAGGCATATTTTGGTGAAGTAATTATACTTGAGAGTTGAGAAACTGACTAAATGTTTCATCAGTCTTGTTTTCTGTCGACTGGAACAAGACGATGAAGGCTGATTCTAGGTACTAAGTTGTAGAACAACAATCTTGCAAAAGTTTATTTCTCTAATCAATGCATATACATCTTTCTAAATAAAATATACTCCAAACACTACAAAACCATGTGATTTTTGTTTTGAATGGAGTTCCCTAAAAAAAAGTCGGTCTATATTGTCAAGGATAGCAAGATATCACAAAACAGCTTTCACTTCAATAAATAAATATCAAAGTCCTATTTTTAGTCAAATAATATTGATTACATGACTAATTATGATATCAGTCAGTCACAACGTAAAACTTCGTATGTACCTAATTCTGATAATTATTACTTTTCAGAAACCTATAAATATACAGTGAGATAGTAGGATGCAGCATCCTCCGAGAAGGTTACTCTAAATTTCATTTAAATAATTTGATTTTACAGTCAACTTGTACATTAGCTAAAATAATTTAGATTACGAATTTAATAAAAAAGAAACAAGCTAATTTTCTGGTGGTTATTAAGCTTGTTGTTAGCCTCTCGTTTTTGTCGACTGTTACAGTCTGAGTATGCGATAATCTAGCCAACTGAAATCACCATGTATAAGTAGGTTAGTTTGGGTTATTTTCTGAAAAAATTGCTAGAAATCTGAGCGTTAGTAACAATTCACTACTAAATAATGGGTGGGATTACTACCGCTTTTATTTAACAGCACAATAATAGGTGAATTTGCCACTTGAAGTTAACTGAATATCAAAATAACAAGTGCTGCACATAAGACAAAGAAAACCACATTGCAGTGAATCAAATGATTCGACAATTTACTCAGAAATAGACAATGAAGTGAGTCAGCCACGACTTTCTAGTCCATCTCTTCTGGCTCAAATTGACCAGAAGCTTCTCAGTCAAACATTTTGCAGAGTGACCATCCAACAAAATCAGATTTCAGTCAGGTGCCAGGTGAGCAAAATTATGCGCCCGTCTCAGTACCCCAGTACTTTTATTAAAGCCAGAACGAGGTACACCAGAGGAACTTATTTAACTTTTTCACTCATTGCGGCCCTTACCACTAGTTTTCGAAACTCACTGACCGCTGTTTTCTTCCATACTGACATTTTATTCCCACAACGGTTAGCGCGTTCGACTGTTAACCGAAAGGTTGGTGGTTCGAGCCCACCTGGAGGCGGTAGCCACTTTTCCCCCAAATGCCCTGGTACGGCCGAGAGTGGGGAGAGTCACCTCTCCGTCCCGAAATGCTCTCATATGGCCAGCGAATATATAGCCTCTGCCAGAGAAGTCCTACTCACTGCCTTCTCGTGACGGCGGTGTTGTTTACGAAATTGAGAGGACGAAAAGCGAATGTCCGGTGCTTTAAACGGGTTGGTGGACACGGAAAGTCCATCTAGGGGAGTTGGAAAACCCTGATTCCAAACCAATGGTGTACATGGGCCCCAGTATCCTGAGGGAACAAATGGCGTATGAACCAGTCGTTGGTCACCGGCTACCATGGGACTGCATCTCCTAACGTTGCTCCACTGTCTTGTGGATCAGAAATTCAGATCAAAGGCTCCGGGTGTGGTCCCCTAAGAAAACCACCTGCTTCAGTCTGGGCACCTGGGCAGTATCACAGCCCTCACACAAATCGAATGAGATTTGTGAGGCGCATATTTATCTGGTGCTTCCTTGTACCAATATTTATGTGTTTAAATAAATAAATAAAATACGTACTTATTCCTTCATGTCATTTTTGTTACACTGTATCTCAACGTCAACATTTTACTTTTAGACGTTACGAAACCCATATTTGCACCTAACTTTCTGGTTAGTATTTAAACTTTAAAAAAATTACATTTACAATCTCGTCACAATGAGTGATACATATTTATTTTGTTCATTACAAAGATCAGTAGGTCATTACACAGAGACACCATTTTGAGAAAAAGGTACATTTGCGACTTCATGGCTTAAAAGATAAGTTTGCCGTAGGTGAACTTTTGACTAAATTAATCTGTCATTAAGATGTCTCAATAAGTGCAATCTATTCACTTGAAATAAACCAAAGCGAGCAGGTCACCTGTTATCCGCTACTTCCTTCAAGACACCTACTTTGTAACAAAATCTGTCTTCATATTATAAAGACCATTTTGCGAAACAACTTAGATAATAATAATAATATACTAACTAGTCCTCACCATCGCTTCTCAGGTCCCCAAATGCCCTGGTACGGCCGAGAGTGGGGAGAGTCACCTCTCCCTCTCGAAATGCTCTCATATGGCCAGCGAATATATAGCCTCTGCCACAGAAGTCCTACTCACTGCCTTCTCGTGGCGGGGGTGTTGTGTACGAAAGTGAGAGGACGAAAAGCGAATGTCCGGCGCTTTAACCGGGTTGGTGGACATGGAGGGTCCATCTAGGGGAGTTGGAAAAATAAATCAAGGTAGTTGAAAACCGTTACTGGTAGTTAGAACCAAGAACGCTACTCATAGGAAATATAAGTCATGTATATGATTACAGAGCATACAAACAAAAGACCAAAACGCCAATTAGTTTACTTGAAGACCTAAAGTTTCTGAGCCAGAAGCTGTATAAAAATAAATAAGCTCCAATAAGTGTAAAGTCATGGGTATGAAATGTTGAAAATCACCAAACCACTATCATCTTATATTCCATTTTCATCAATGTTACAAGAGAAGGCCCTTACTAAACAACAAACACGAAGTTCTAACTTTGTCGTAACTTAATATTTCAATATAGTTGATAACTGTCATTAAAATATTGCATTGAAAGTAGTGATAGGTTAATTCTCACCCCTAGTAAAACTGTTAATCTGGATATTTTACAAGCAAATGGAAAACGAACGTAAGAACGAAATAATAAACAAAAAAGTAATAACGTATTTTTGAAAATCTGATGGATTTCTGATTTAAAAATACATATTCACAACCAGGTGACACTACATATTGTCCAGGTCTAATCTCATTTACTGATATAAAGTCAGTCAGTCAGCTGCAACGTAGGACCAGGAACATATATGCATCGGTTCAAGTTGCCATACCTCGTTAGTACAACAGATTCTTAGCAGTTACTTCAATAGTAGTAATATATAGAAGAAATATTGCATATAAGGATTTTATGCAGAAAAAATTAGTTCAAAGAAAGAAAAGTATAAAGGAATTTCAATCTCACGGTTTAAGGGAAGATAAAGAGTGTATACACTTGCACCATTGTGATCGATTATGGGCCATGTCACGCAGAGTCTACAACCGCCGGTTACGGCAGTCGCGCGCACCCCAACCAAATAGTCTGCGTCTACAAACATGGCTAAGACTAGGAGTTAGCGACTTCAAGGACTGATGCCATGTTTTGATTTCTCCCAACCATTCCCAATACCCGTCAGCATTGCGCGTTGTGGTAATCGGTGTTCAGGCATACGTAACACGTCGCCCAACCATCTCAGTCGATGAAGATTCATGACCTCATCAGCTGATTTACCAGCATTCCCTAATACCCTGTGTCTAACCTCACTATTACTTACCCGGTGATTCCAGCAGATGCGAGCAATATTTTTAAGGCATCTGTGGTAAAATACTAGTAACTAAAGAGTATGTCCTACTCTTAATGGCCATATCTCACAACCGTAAAGTAGAACTGGGCGAACCGCTGCGCAGTATACTCGTGCTTTAATTGATAGACAGATATTTCGCCTAAGCCCTACGTGTGGCGCATAATTATCTTGTGTCTGCTTGTACCAATATGTGTTAAAATAAATAAACTAAGCCATGTGTGTCGTTAGTTGGTGAAAGCTAGACAGGTTTTCTGAATCCGTGCACAGATCTCATCAGACACTAACCCATCAATCTGATCAGACTTCCAAGATAAGTGAAATTGTTGGCACGGTCGACTACTTTACTCCCTATCCTTAGTTTAGGTGTTGACGCAGGCGAATCCTGAAGTAACAGCTTGCATTTAGAGGGTGAAAACATCTTGGCTTGTTGTTCAGTGCTACTAAAGGACTATGACATCTGATGGAAAGAAAAATACTTCCAAGTGATTCAAAATATACAATACATTTGTAACGTTATTCAGGCTCATTCACGTCGTGCTATTGGATTTTATAATCTGTCGTTACTTATTTGCCGAACGGAACTGATAGATTTTCGTAAGAATATGGGATTTCATTACAGTAGCTTCAGAATTAGATACTTTACATACGGTGAGAACAAAGTGAAACTTTATTCGATATTATATTGAAGTATTTGTGAAAGGAGCTCGTACGTCATATAAGTCAGCTATGCATACTGAAGGATAAGAGTAAACCAATAATAAATGAATCGATGGGATAAACGTAGCTAGCCACACTATTGAACAGTTAAATCAATACTATCACTGTACATATCAATTTTTCACACTAGGGTGGTTTGAAATTCTGTACGGCTATGGCTTTAAAAAGCTTGAGTATTCGATCTGGACAACAATTAAAAAAACTTCAGATGGAGCTCCTACGACACATTGAAATGCCGAGTAACATATTCTTGTGACAAGCATTCGGGAACAGCTTTTATGGTAAGTGGTGTTAGTCCGTCAGCGTCAAGTCAGTTATGCAAAAATAACGATGTAAATGAATAAGAAAATGAACCATCGAGCCACTAATTTCGCTGAATTAACTTTTATAGGTTAATGATCACCCTACAAGTCAGAGTCAGCGTAACTATTAGTTGACTTTCAAATCAATACCTTCCCATTTAATAACACAAATGACATCTCCGTAAGTGTGATTTTGCAAATAGTTTGAAAATCATTAATACGATTAGTTATTGCTGAGAAAGCGAACAGGAAATGATAGTTTCAGACGACTTCATAGGTCAAATATAAATGTAAGAATAATCTTCGTCACATCCTCTAATGAATGATATCATTGAGAAATTGAATTGTCACGACTGGCACGTTAAAGAGATAAGTCTAACACAACAAAGAATTACATCAAATAGATTTATATCTCCTTTAACATACAAAGCAGGGTATATTAAAAGTGATTTATTAAAGTCTGAAATAACTCCATTAATTGGCAACCTGAACGAGCGTTATTGTCTCTCCTTTTAAAAGGATCCTGCCTGCAAGGAATAAACTTTAAATGAAATTGCAACACCAACCCAAAGGTTTTTTAGCTCCTGACTTCATATGCCTCTCACAAGCGTCAGCCAACACCAGGTTCATGTACTCGTCAAAACCCTGTGTAGACTGGTAAACAACTAATTACTGACGTACAATTATAACTCCTTCAATTCTTAAGTTACATTGTTCATACAGCCAAACCCTCACACGTGCTTTCTAAGAAGAAGCATTACATATACAGTCGTTTCGATAAAATACCTTTTGCAAGAAATTATAAACAACACCCTGAAGTTACCAATAAACATATCAGAAAGGAACTTACAATGGGAGGTTGAATAGCTTTGTGTGATCTACCTCCTTCCCTGTGCATCGTGCTTAGAAATTCAGACTCAGCGCTGAAGCCACTGACAAAGTCACTGTTAAAATTCACTACGACTCAATGTCCAACCTACACAACATCAGAGCTTTGGAGATAAGAAATAAAATTCGGGAATTATTTGGCTCATGGTTGACTGATGATCAATGTTTTATGAGAACTGGAGGTTTTTAGGAGAGTTTCCGTGTTATAGACAATAATGTCTCGGATTATGAACTGTTAAAGTATTGTTTGATATCTACAACGCTCTCGGTACTATCAAAAAACTCAAGAGAGTCCAAACATCTTTGTTAAGAGCTTGTTTAGACTTATTGATTTATCTGCGCACCCTACTCGTTGTTTCTGTACGGTTCTAGGTATTTGCTATTGTTCAACGGGTGTTAGTATAGCAGCTTACGTACGCCTGTCACCCTTCATGAAGGAGCATACGCCGACTACCAGTACTCTCCATCCAACCCTGTCCCGGTCAATCCATTCCAGTTGCTATTCATCCTTTTCACGTCTGCTTCCGATTCCCGATGCAGTGTGTTCTTTACCCTTCATCTTAATCGTTTCCCTTCAATATTTCAAGTTAGTGCTTGCCTCGTGATACAGTTTGCTGATTTCCTCAATGTATATCCTCTATCCACTTCCAGTATCCTTCCCTAATTTCCTCTTCAACTGAAAGCTGGTTTGTTCTCTCCCACAGTAGGCTGTTGCTGATGGTATCCGGCCAATAAATATTCAATATCTTACGTAGACAATTGTTTATAAATACTTTTACATTTTTGATGATGGTTGTAGTAGTTCTCCACGTTTCAGCTTCATACATTAGGACTTTCTTGACGTTCGTATTGAATACTGTGACTTCGATATTGGTTGGCAGTTGTTTTGAGTTGCATAAGTCCTTCAAATATAGGAACGCTGTCCCTGTTTGCCGATCCTGGCCTTTACGTCTGGACCGTGATAAATTATGAGACATGCATCAGACACAGTTGATCCTAGGGGGAGATAATAATCCATCGGTGAGTATATGTTTATCAAGTCTCCTAACAAAACCATACACTGAAGGAGGTGTGATCACTCATGCTGAGAGAGCACTCTAAACTGGGGCGAGCACTTTATGACAAAAGGTGGAAGCATACCTGGATGTGATTATGATGTTGTGGTAACATGTTCATGTTGGAGTGACTTGGCATACTCAATATATTGTGTGGAATTATCAGAACACTTCTCATCCTCCTGTAGCTCAATGAAAATAATGTCAGGCGTGGTGGTCTTCCGTCTTAAGATTAATCTTTCATATCAATCACTCGTTTGGCCGTATATCTCTGTACTTAGTTTAACAAGTTTCCATCTGTTTTGAAGAGAGGTAGCACGACGTTGTTATGGATGTCAAGATGATGCATTGTGTACTTTTTGAAGAGAGTTAAGAACAACTCTGTGGTGAATGCGCCAACTTGTCTTCTCAGAAGGTGGAAAGTTGAGTTTAACTTCGCTACATCCCCTAAGCTGTATGCGCTGACGTCTTGGCTCTCTGTAGTTACTAGTTACCATGCTCTGAGGAAGTGATCAGAAAAGATATTTATGAAGGGTGTTAGTGATCTGTGTCTGAAACTATAGAATATTCATGACAAAACATTTCGACAGATTAATCTTCTAACCTCTCTTTTTACCGCTAATACCTCTGTTGTTCCTTTCGAAGTTCAAGTGAATCCTTTTCATTTTGATGAACCTTCAGATTTTTTTGTTGCCTAAAAAGATCAGCGCCGCCGAGCAAATTTTACTTCACAATAGGAGTGAAATTTGAATCGTTCCTCGTGAAGCTCCTGATTTCGAGATCTTACAACTCGTGAGCACTCTATCTTCCTCGATACGAAACATTTTATCCTTTAGATAGTTTTGGAACCAACATAAATGTGGATCAGTGAAACCCCATTTTTTCAGCCTTTGCTATGGGGTGCACATGCAATACTTAGCCAAAGTCTTTCAATAAATCGAGCAATATTACAACAACCGGTATCTCATGGGCCCAGCAGATTGTCCAGTTTTTTTCAATCCTATGAATAAATCGGACGCACAAAACCTGACCATTCTAAACGCATACTGAGCTTGCTGGAGTATGTCGTTTTCATCCATTTTTTCTCTGATTCTTCCGTTGAGCGGTGCTTCTATCACCTTCGACAGCACTGGAAGTACTACTACTGGTTTGTAATAAGCTGGGGTTTTATATCTTAATTTTTGAAAATTGGAGATAGACGTGCTTCCATTTCCTTGGAATTCTGTATGAATCCAGTGACGCCCTAATAGGTCACACATTGGTACGCTAGTAACTTATGTGCACTATTTCATGATTGTAGTTTGAATAATGTCACATCCCGATGACTTTCCGGGGTAGGAGGATTCTGGTCTCTTCTGTAATAACCCGAAAGTTAGTTGGTTATCACCCGACCCTCAACTGGCCATTTTTCCCCTTAGAAGTACAAATCCCCTGGTTCGTAGGCTAACTCTCAGTCATGAATCTGTATATATATTTAGGGTTGGCTGAAAACACCTCCCATCGTTACAAACTTTGGCATTGCATCAGTTTCTGAATACCGTGTAAGAGTTTCGGTCAGAGTCCTTCAAGGAGATCTTCCAATTGTGTCAGGTTCCCTGTTTAGCCTGTAACAAGCGTTATGCGCCTCGCCTAACTCGGGCTCTTCGCTTACCGATTGTGACATTATCCTATCTCAGTTCAACTGTGTTCTACAGAAGTGCTAAACATCATACTGCTGATTATCACCTTAGGGTGAGTCGATATAGACAATGATGTGACTTCCGTGTGAGATCTTAGAAAAAATTCAAAAACAGGGCGTTATTATCACTATCCACAATTATCTTATGGGTACATAAGTGTTGTGAAGAAACCATATCGGGTTTCATCAAAAATGCAATAATACACAAGTTTCAATGATGTTAGCATTACATTTGCCATGTTTGAGAAAGGAAAGAAAAGGAAAATAAAATATCAATAATAGAATAGTAATAATAAATCAGGTTCTGTGTAATTGGCAAGAATTTTGAATTGATTTTGAAGAATGAAAGAAAGAAACTAAGGAAATAGGTATAAAGTAGACGCGGATTACGTAAACAGCTTAACACAGAACAAGAATAACACAACTATGAATGTATCGCAAAATGAGTAATAAAAATAAAATAAAACAAAATATATTAATAAGTAAATACCTTATTATTGCGGTAAGGTATGGCGTTAGAATAAGTGTTTATGCGTGCAGTCATAGTTTGGGGTGATGATATGAAAGTCTTAATTAAGTGCAAAATATAATATGTATGAGGTGTATATGCATAGTAAAGATAAAACGAGTCTGAGAAGTTGAATTCAGCGTAACACAAGTTATTGTCTCAATCCAAAACTTCGTAATCTTAAGAATAATATTTATTTAGACGGAAAAAAAGTGGGGGAGAAAAGAAATGAACACAGTGAAAGGGTCCAACCATGATAATAGTAGTTTAATAGATATAGACCCTTGAAGTAAACCAACAACTAAAAAATAATCTTTTAGTGCACTGATATATATTCGTGTATATTTGTGTAACAGTATACAAAGTTAAACCAGATATTAGTATAAACATTTGTGTAATAATGATTTAGAATGGTGCTATCATAGTCACAATTAATTACAAAGGATAATGAAATACAAATTTCTATGTTTTATATATATGTGTATGGTGAAGATAGAATGAATCTGAGTTAATTTTTTTAAGTGAAGCATAGGGTTATTTTTTTTTTGTTTTTAGTTGTAGACTTTGGATGTTTAGGAATAAATATGTTTAGAAGGACAAGAAGAGATGAAGAGAATATCTAATGTGACGAAAGGCCAGTAATGATAGTAATAACAGTAATAGTTATAAATACGAACATAAGCAGACTTCATATATTAAGATGAATAAAGGTGAAATAGAATAGACATGAAAAGTTTCAAAGGTTTCACTTTGCTTTTCAGTCAGTTAGATAGATGACGGACCTTTTTTGTATATATCATTATTAAGCACGTTGATATTCAATAGGTGACACAATCCACTTTCGGAAAGAAAATCATCAAGAAGACTTCGGAACCGGGTTGTAGTTTCACTGCATCGGAGGTTCACTGGCAGTGTATTCCATATGGTTGAGTAGCCAATAACGAAAAAATTCTGGCGTAAATTTGTATGGGCTTTGGGAATCGCTAGAATATTTTCCTTATTGCGTAGATTGTGGGACGGTACCATGGAGTAGGAAGGGGTAGATAGCGAAGAGTAAGAAATACCGTTAAGAAGCCGGTAGAGAAAGATAAGGTTTAATTTGATACGCCTGATCCAGAGAGGTTCTAGTTTGAGTTGTTGACATCTTTGGTGATTGTCTTTGTTATCAGAATACCCCAAAACAGCTTTGGTGAACCTTCTTTGAATACCTTCAATTTAAATCAGGTCATTATGCCTGAAATTACTGTAAACTAAAATAACATATTGAAAAATGGGTAATATACATTATCTGTATAATCATAATCTCGATTGGATATCATTGAAATAAGTCATTATGAATACGATGAGCTTTCTAGCTTTGGATGCTTGTGATGCGATGTGCTCGGAAAGATTCAGAATGTCGCTATATCTTAAACCCAAGTCACGAACAGTGCTGAGTTTCCCAACTGCTAGGTCCTAATGGTCCGACCAATAACGACGGTGATGCCACTAACCTTTTGGTTGAACAATACTCTCAGACATTTCAGTCGATCCACATCAACTATACTGACAAGAGCTTCACCTGCACCTGTACAGGTCCTTCCGAAGTGGACCTGAGTGCTGACCTGGAGCTCCGTAAACTGCAGCACCTATGAAAAGACACTTCTCCCGGTCCCGACATGGTTAATTCTGCTATACTGAGGAAAGTAGCTTCAATCTTGGCAACAATACTTGGAGTGATATTTTCACATTATCTAGGTCGAGACAAACTGCCGGAAATTTGGAAGCTGGTTCACATCACACCGATTTTCAATGGAGGTCGACGCAGGGAATCCTCAAGCTATCGACCAGTGACCCTTCTGTCCA